TATCACCACAAAGCTCCGCGTGTACCGTGCATCTGTGCGGTCTGCCTTTCTATACAACTGCTCATGCTAGGCTACGCGCGTGGAAGATGAAAGGAAAGGTAATGTATTTGATCACTACTGCTTGAGGACCATCCTTCGAGGGATGTACACCGACTTAGTCTCAAATGAGAATATCGTCACTCGCCGCAACAACATCACAATGCTATCTCAGGCTATCTAAGAAAGAAGACTGAGGTGGTTTTGACACGTTCTTCGTCGTCAACCTGACGAGCTCAGTGTTACTGCCCTCGACCCGAAACCGTTACCTACTTGGAAATGTCGAAGAAGGGGTCAGCTTAAAACCTGGCTCGCCTCAGTCCGTCAGGACATGGAAATGGTCCTTGGACCTCCGGTATGAAGTCTCTGGCGCTGACGAAGAGAATGGACTGGACTGTCCAGGTCTGCTGCCACGGATCGTCGCGCGTGGAAAAGTACCATCCGGGACATCATCGAGGCCGGCTAGATCAGTCATGAGCACAGCCGCAACAAGTGCAAGTAAACCTTCATCGTCTTCGTGTACGCACCGACATCAGCTGCCGGTAAATAAACCTTTTCGCAGGGGTAAGTTAGTTCAAACACTCCCTCATCGCGATCTTCTGCCCGTTGCCGAAAGGGGGGACAGCAATGGCCGGACTGGACCCAGCGATTCTTTGTTGACCACTTTGGGCCCAGCCCTCGGTACGACAATGGCCAGAAAATTCGGAAATTTACCGGCCAGCGCTGACGGTTCATGATAGCAGAATGATGCATGGTGCCGAGAAGGCTCACATCCACGAGTCAGACTACCGCCCATGCCTGAAAGCGCACTGCCTATCTGCATCCAAGTTGTCACGTGCAAGACTGGCAAACAAAAACAGCTGAAACCTTGAGCGCAGAGATCCAGTTTCGTCTTATGATGCGAGTCGTAGTCAATGAATGTCCTTGAAGTCATTAGTCTAGAGGCAGTCAAGAAAATGCTTGGGAGCATCCAGCGGCGCCGCACTGACGGGATCAGTGAAAGAACCCTGCAGTGGTCTGTCTAGATGGCTCGGGGCCTGATCGTGGGCCGATTAAATTAAATCAGAGCGGCCTGTCCTCCTCTATGGCTGTGAATGCAAGGTTCTAGGCATGGAAAATGAACGAAAACTAGGGATCCTTGACCAGCACTGCTTGAAGACAATCTTTCGAGTGAAGTACAC